ATAAGGATATAATTTAGATATTTTTACCATTACACATTGATTTTCAAAAACGTGGATGTCGAACCCATTCGTTGATTAATGGTACCAGTGGTAACCACCCAACGAGCATGTTAATTGTGCGTATCATAAAAAAGCAACTTACACAGTAAAACAATTAAACTTGAACTCCTCAACTTACCTTTTGCATGAACTACATGAGTAAATGTTTACAAAAGCTTCAACAAAATCTTTCCACAATTTTTTGCTCGTATTCAGAAACAATGAACCCTCATGCGTAGTTTATTTCCTACGTACAAACAATATTGTATATAGTGATTGTTCGTTCTGAAAGAAGAAGAGACAGATCAGACAGAGCGTTCATAATATAATAGGCATATTTTAATTCCTCCTCGGCTTTCACACTTTTTCAATCTTCTGTCACTTATAATCGAGCGATCACTTCCCTATAGGGCGCTGAAGACAGCTAACTACTCATGTTTAGGACACCTTAACACAGCATGGTCAAGCCAAACTCCATCCTTTTAGCAGGTGCGACCACACGAAAGAGGTTTCCACCGGCCATCAAGGTTACCGAAATAGCCAAGAGACGTTCTCTTTTTATTTGTTTTTTATATTACTTGATTTGGCTTGCAAAGTCATAACAACATTAAAAATGACTTTTCATTTTGGGACAGCAAAAATAAATACCTTAACGTAAATAAATAATACAAATTATAACAAAAATATCTTAATTTAAATAAATAATTAAGAAATGTAACACAAAATAATAAAAAAATCATTAAACACTTAACACACTTTACGTCCGGTATGGTACAGTTAAAATTTATGACATTAGACGAGTTCTTACGAGCTATAAATATTTCGAAGGTTATCCAATTCGATGTCCATAAGAAGTGAGTGCAGTATGCACTTAGATAAAGGATAATTCGAATTTTATAACAAATTCCGTATTTAAAATTGGGAGACCATTTTCCATTTACTTAAACGGAAGTGGAATTCTTTCTATGATACAGAAACGCATTATATACTTACTTACTCTTTAATGTATTATGTCAAAAGTCAGTGTTTTCATTGTTATTAATAAAAATCTTGTTTTGTATACCTTATTTAGGAATTGTTCTTTAGACTCGATGTCAAGGTTTCGTATCTATTTACCTAACATTAGGAACTTTTCGTTTTTAACAGAGGGGATTTCATCTCCCACGAGGGTATCAGCGTATGTACCGGTATCTGTACCTATATTTAATATCGGTACAGTTATATTTATGTATTGGTTATGTCTATGTAATATAATTGTATATATTACGTAATTAACTGAATTCCTGTAAGCATCGAAATATTCAGAAAACACATAAATGTCAACATTTTACCACTTCAATTGAGCTCGTTCGTGACCCTTGTTAGTAAATTAAAAATTAATTTAATTAAGCTACACAGCTGAACGTGAAGTGGCTCTTTGGATATATCGCTGTCCGGTTGATAACGATAAACACTTAGCGAAAATTTCCGTTTAATAAATTAATTCTCGCGTCATTTTTCCAATGTCTGCCTTGAAATATTTTTGCTGCAATTTTGAAATGACATTCTCAAGAAGCTGAAAAAAAAAATTCAATTCATAGCTGCAATAGTTAAAGAATATATATTGAACAAAATTTATATATTAAGTATAATTTAAAACATACTTAATGTCTGTAGTTTACGAAAATAGTACGCATTTAAATAAAACACGATATGTACGAGTATGAGTTGAACTAATTGAAAATTATTTTAACTACGGCCCGACGTTTCAACGTTCGATTACCAACTTCGACGGAACAGATGGCGCTAGCGTAGCAGTTTTTATTTTGACGTCCGAGACACCCTCCATCTTTAGTCTCCCCGTACTCACGGCTGCTGCAAAGCATCCGAAACGTCGGGCAGTAGTTAGAATAATTTTCTTATAAGTTTAACTTATATACGTCTCATTTTAACCGGTAGTGTTTTATTTAAATATATTTAACGGTTTAAACAGTGAAATGTATTAGAATCTTAGTAAACGAAATGAAACCGGGTATTTGAACATAATTCAACGAATATGTTTCGCGTTTTAAACCGTTTAAAATGTTTAAATATGTTTCACTTGCGTTCAAACACCACAGACAATACTACATAATTTAGCAGCAGTGTGTATTCTACGAAATTTTTCTTTACAAAACAATTACTTGGCTTCTTTACAACTCCGAAGAATTGATTGGTTTCTCGTCTTATTTCTAATATTATCGAATTTAACGTTGAGAAAACTTCCAAGTTAACAAAGGTACTACACGAAAGTTAGGGTTGACAGAAGCACTATCAAACAAAATTTTTACTTAAGCCGATTACTACAATAAATATAATATTGTAAAAGTATGATAGAGACGAGGGTTCACTTGAAGGAAGGTAAAATACCCCAGCGGTATACTATTTCAAAAAGATGGGCAATCCACCTATTCCTATTACCTAATCCATAGACTGAAAGCAAAATGTGAGTCAGTACTTTTTCATATAGAAACGGTAGTTCGTTACCCAGACTGATTTTTTGACATTTAATGTCAAGTTTTCCACAACCCGATTATTAGCAATACATTGCTACCGTTAGACCAAGATATTTTTCAAAATATGCTTAAATAACTTTGGTTTTAGTTTTATTTAAAACATGATATATACTTAAACTTATTTGGACGTCGGTCTCCCCGTGATCACGGTTGCTGCAAAGCATCCGAAACGTCGGTTAGTTAAAATAATTTACAAGTAAGTTAAACTAAAATATATCGCCGTCTTAGTATTTTATTTAAATGTGTACTACTCGCGTAAACAACAGACAGTATTCACTTTGGTTTTCTTTCGAGTCTCGACAATAATATAAAACCGTCCGCTAGAGGCGGAGTAGCCTAACTGTGTGTCTCATAGTGTAAAAATGTTAATTGTTAACATAATTTTAATAAAACACTTCAACGGTTTAAAACGCGATATATTAGTTAAACTTAAGTTTAACTAATTTATCGCATTTTAAACCCTTAAATTGTTTTATTTAAATGTGTACTACTCGCGTAAACTGGAGACAGTATTTTGTTAACATAATTGTTACACAAATAGTACAATTCACTAGCAGCCTTATATTATGTACGAATAACATGTATTACCTCACCTAAACATAACTGCTCTTCCGTCATCCCCCCTTATCCACAGCGCGCTCTGTTGGTGACAACCCTGATCTCGGCTGATTCAGCTAATAAACAGCGACGTTGATCGAGCCGCCTCATTTATCCGCTTCCGCTGAATTCGGCGCACGTAGCTCTTTATTAGTTACCTGAAGGATTGCAGCTATTATTATGTACAGTAGCAGCATTTCTTACTCTTCGATTAGATTTTGTGATTCCGTTCGGCTGTAGCGCGGGCAGTTGATCTTGGAAAATGTATAGCGCTAGCTACAATCTAGAACGTCAAAAGATTTAAGGTTGAACTAGTATGTGGATGATACATTTTTAGATTTATTGTTTTTTTAGATTCCTTATAAGAGTGGCTTAGAGAGTCTAATTACAGGAATATGGACAGTAAAATGACAAAAGAACATAAAGACTCATTATAATTTTGAAGGGCTTGATGGTGTAATGGGATATATCAATGAGTCGTGGGTTCGAACCCCACTGGGTGCAACGTTTATCTAATCAAATTATAATTTTCTAAAACATGTTGGTCTTTGGCCGGGAATCTTGATATTAAATGGGTGGTAGGAATTTGGAATTTTCGTCTACTACTACGCGAGTAGTAGCCGAGTCTCCCCGTGACGTCGGGCTGAAGTTAAAAATAATTTCCAATATGTTTAACTAATATATCACGTTTTAAACCGTTAAAGTGTTTTATTAAAATTGGTTTTTATTTGTCATTCTTCACTTCTATGTTGAAGGTGTATTGAACCTTAATGTTCTTTGAATTATAAACCTACTCATTCCCAGAAATAGTACGTGCGCATACCTCTCTCAGGCCTTTTCATATAAAGTCCAATTATAAGGCGCTTAATAGGTGTTGATACTTTCCCAACGAAGGCTTCATCCATCACCGAAACCTCAAAGCATTTGATTGAAGGTGACTAATGACTAGACACAATTTGGTTGTGATAATGGGAATTTGACCTTCAAGTGATCATAAACCGCTTATACGACGCCTGGATCGATTTGGTATGGACTTAATAGTTTGGTACTAGATATAGAACGATACGTTCTAGATGTTATCTAAAAAACACTTACCTGTAGTATTGATAATGAAAAAAATACATTTAAAACTAAATCACTAATTTAACCTATACTAATATATAAAGCTGAAGAGTTTGTTTGTTTGAACGCGCTAATCTCGGGAACTACGAGTTCGAATTGAAAAATTATTTTTGTGTTAGTTAGACCATTTATTGAGAAAGGCTATAGGCTATAAAACATCACTGTGAAGATATAACAGGAAATGTGAACAAAAATGGGAAGATTTTTTATCTCTGTGGGTTTCTGACGCGTACGCTGTGAAAACATTTCAAGACACCCAAAAATATGTATAAATGAATGATTCATCTTTAAATAATCTGAAAAAATGTTCGCGACACTATGTCTATCTTTTAAGATTAACTTGCAAGAACGACGGGACCGGAACTACGGGTCGCGAGCGTCGGGACACGACCGATGTCGTGGGCAGCTTAAATTTATAAAGATGTTGAGGTTTGCAAAAACAAATTTGGATGCCTAAAACAACTATTATACGCGGAAAAAGTCGCTGACACAGCTAGTAAAATATATAGGTAAAGTAATGTGCATTGACCAAGGTAACTATTTTTTTAAATAAATGAATATAGTGTACCACTTAAGTAAATAGCTCTATACACTTACAATTATTATAATATAGTATAATTATATATTTAGACAAGGGTATAATAGCTAAGGGAATAATATAATGTATTAGTACTACTTATACTTGTTTGGGCATAAAACCAAATTGAAATGAAAGAGAAAAAACGTAGTGTAGCGAGTATCAACGCGGTACGCTCGCGGTATATAAAAAGAAAAGAAATTTTAACACCGTGTAAAACTACATATAACAACAACACTTTGCAAACTTTTCAGTTCGGCGTATCCACCCCAGACAGATAGACTTTGTAGTTCGTTTCATAATGCTTTCACGCTTACTATGAACAATCTATGGAAAGTAGTGGCGCAGAATGTTAGCGATACTGAGTTTAATAAATTGGCTGATAACGTTTTGAAAAAGAGTACAGGTGAGTTAACAGTACATTGCTAAAAAATAATAGTAACATATGTCGTTTTTAAATCGATGGATGTAGCGATAAATAAAGATAATAAATCGATTTATTTGTTGGTTTGATAATCGCGCAAGGAAAGTGTGTACAGCCCTAAAAGTTGATATAAAAAATGAAGTGAAAACCCCAAAATTTACATAACATTGGGATAAAGTACAAAATGGAATATAACCACGAATATTTTTCCCCGAGGTAAAAGGGCGAAGGGTCGAAAAAGACGCGATTATGGGAAATCCTTGTATTATCCTATGACGAAATAAATAACTTGCGAACTGAGTATTTTTTGAAGGAAAAGATTGCTTTCAGCGATAATTCCGCTGGCTTACTTTTATTAATAGAGTGGCAACATTCTTGTTATATTACTTATTCCTCCGTCCACATAAAGATAGCTTTCGAGATAGAAACATATATATCGTGAGATATTTTTGTATCTTAGTGACGCTATCTAAATAGCTATGAGGCCACTGGATATTTTAAATAAACTTATAAGTGAATGATTTTTTGTATTTAAATATTTTATTGTTTATTTTTATTCTACACGGTGAAGCAATAAGTAGCAAAGTATATTCAAAATTATTCATAGCGAAGATGCTAAACTGCATTTCGTGTTAAAATAACGAAAATATTTTAAACTCAAAGTGATTTCCATAATCATTCTGCGCTGCGGTGTTAGTAACACTAAACACAAACTTTGAAGCCATCTTTGCATAGTCCCAAAAAAATATAATCCTAAATGTGTCGTTAGATATTTTTATGATTTTTATGGAACTAACTTAGACAGATTGAGTAATGGAATCTTAGACTTATATTATTATGGGGTTATATAAAGATGATCTGCATGTTACATACATATCCTTTTGTATATTAGGTTTAGCTATGAGAAACATTAATATCGATATTATATATCATTAATATATTACATGGTGCATGCATTTAACCAGAGAAATTATGTTTTTCATCAAAGGCCGTTTGTTTTTCGAACCTCAAAGCAGGAAAGACATTAAATGAAACTCTTTTACCAGTTTCAAATGTGAAATATATTAGTTTTTTTGAAACTACGGCCAAAGTTTTTAACAGCAGTCGTAACGTCCTCTAATAAGTAACTATAAATAATATCCTAAAAAATGGAGTAGATAGAAAAGCCTTTAATCTCTTCGTGATCAAGGATTTTTACCCTCTCAATTTATTTGTGTTTTAAACCGTTTATTTTCCCTGAGGCAACAGTAGGACAAATCGTGTGTTAAAAGTATTACGCGTTTTAAACCGTTTAAAGTGTTTTATTTAATGTTCACCACTGTGCTACAGACCGACCATATATGCATGCAATGTGATTGTTTTCGCTTACCAAGTTCGATCCATAGACGCCTTACGATCCACAATTCATGAAGCCTAGAAACTCAGCACGATAGCTAGACGTCACTCATATGCCAGGCTGCGCTATCAACCCATACACAATAATATCTATAACATTGATCAACAACATCAACACATTGTATAATAGCCAAACAAACCATAATAAAAATACAGACTTATAATAGCTTCTATATTTTCGAAATCCATACTATGTGTTAGGTATTTGAAGAAGCCACAGCCTTGTAAATAATTCACGTATAGATTAGCTTTAATATGGATCAAATAACAAAGTTTCTTGTGTACAATAAAACCCCCACTTCGCGTAATAACATGAAATATGAAGCGTTAAGAGCTGAGCAGAAAAGAAAAGGAGGTAGTGTAGAACTTGAGAAAAGAGTGCTGCTTTTGTCGCCGGAGTTTGGGAGAATGGCTGATGGTAAGTGGTGCTTCAGAGATATCTGGTGATGGATGCAAAGCCTCCAAAAGTGCTTTCTTTTTGTAAACTAGGAATGCAATTTGAGAATACAATAGCACTTGTCAAGTATATTCATTTCAGTGTATTTATTTATTAACTAACTATTTTAGCGACTTTGTCCGCGTAGAATAGTTATTTTGGGCATCCAAGTTTGCCCACGACATGGGTCGAGTCCCACCGTTTTTGCAAGTAAATCTAAAAAGATAGACATATACTGCTTCGGAAAATAATGTAAGTCGTTTAAAGAGCAATCATTTTTCCTAAATATTTCTTGAATCTTTATCGAAGCGTACGTATCGGAAACCTACAAAGATGAATCATTTTCCCCGTTTTTTCCACATTTCCCGCTATTTTTCCTCACTCCTATTAGTCGCAGCGCAATGCTTTTTAGCAGATTTCTTTCAATTCCCACCAGTAGTTCCTGAGATTAGCGCGTTCAGACAAACAAACAAACAAACTTCAGGTTTTTATATTAGTAAAGATAATTTACAAATTATAAGTTTTAATTTTGGTGGAGTACAACAAATAAAAATTACATGTGTTTGTATAACAAATCTAACGTATAGTTAATAGCTTACATATTAAAAACTCTGACTTAATGATTTGTAGAAAATAAAAACTACACAAATATATGACACTTGAATGTCAAACACATATTCATAGGTCGACAGCCCATCTAGTTCCACGGCTAAGGGATATCTCTTTCTTTTTTTAACTTCTGTCCTTTTCTGACATAACAAAACATTGCGATTGTAAGTTATATTTTAACTATAAGCCACATTTTTCTGTTTATTCATTTAATCTACTTTTACTAACAGTATAGTTGAGACTATTTGTAAATTCAAGCAATAAATTGTCAATATAAAGCAAATTGTACATCGTCGATGAAACTAAATAAAAGAATTAGAGATACATTATTATGAAGCTCGTTTGGCTTTGAGCCTGAAGCTGAATTTTGATAAGCCGAGGCCTATGCTCACAAATGAGTCCACAATCGCTTACTGTCGGCCATTTTGAAAACATAAAGCTGATAACATTAACTAACATTTTTGGCGTTTGTAAACTCTCTTTTTTACTAAATGTCCAAGATTTTCAGTTGAAGCTTTTTGTCGCAGGCGTGTAAATATAAGTAAAACTTTGTTGAACATGGTTGTTGGTCGGTTAGCCTAGTTACTATGTTTTGACGGCCTACGACTAGGCTACTTGACTAGGCAATACGTTTAACTATTTGGCTATAGAGGCGGTCACAGATGTAGATGTAGAGTAACTGATGTAGGATATCCACTATTTGACACAAAAATAAACATTTGACTCTATAGGCAACTTAAATAAAGAAACTTGATTTAATTTTGTCGACTTAAAAATTTAATAGGCTTTTAAGTAGACGTTCTATTTAGGTGTTAGCCTTTTAGATGAAAGGGAGATCTGTGATGGCCTTTACTTTAAATATATGCTAGTCAAGATACAATTAAAACCATAAAAACATAGTCATTAAAATTGGAAGAACCGTTACTTAAGCAAATTTAAACAATAACGATTCACTTGGAGAATTGAATATTGCCACGGAAATGCGGAAAAAAAAGAAGAATAATGCCCTATTCAGTATATTGTTACAAGTATTAAAAGTTTTTTTTGTGATAGAGAAGGACACGTTAAGAATGGGGTACTTTATACACTGAATGGTCGACCTATTTTGGCTTAGGATATTCGGAAATCCATGAACTGAAACCGTCACTCGAAATGGGAAGATGGTTCGCGACCTGGACGGAAATCGGATATTCGTACCACCCATTTAATACCGGGATTTCCAGACGAAATCCAACATAACCCCGTGGGAATCACGACACGTTGATTATTATTAGCCATACATTGCTATCATTACACGACATTACTCATTAATTGTCAAACTAAATTGTTTAATTAGCTAACAACTGAATATTTAATTTAAGTGAAAATCCTATAAATCTATGTATATCTACAAGGTTGGATTAAAACCTGTGCTAGAAGTGTGAAAACGTAACAACACAATTCTCAATACAGACCGGCCTATTCTCAAACCACCTGTCGTCGCATCTGAGCCGAAGTGACCACTGAGAACTTGGCATCGACCCAAACGGAACAATAGCGTTTGAACCGGTGTTGTAAAACCTTCGGGCTGACCGCACTACGGGGAATATGAGTTCCGCAAAGTAAGAGCGGGTTCTAAAGGGAAATATTTCAATCAACATGCGCGGGTAGGACTAACTTTCGTTATATAGCGGTTTATATTACTTTTACAAACCCGGTATTATTACTATATATATATCATACTCATATTTCTAATAGCTGATTCGGCATACGTCGTTTTATTACTTGCAAGAGTAATAAGTATGGGATTTACTTGATGGTAGGTGATATAGGCCAGCCTAAAGCATCTAAACAAAATGCGCTATCGACCTATATTGGCCTTGGATATTCCGAAATTTACAAACTGAAACCGAAACGTGATCCAGATTTCCAGGCGAAGTCCAACATCTTTCAGAAACATTATAAATTAGCCCCTCAAACTCTAACTCTATATTATGTTGATACAAAAAACAAATAATTTGATTACCATAAAAACATCTCTTGTGACAACCTGAAAAGATATATGTATACGGTTGCGGTAATTTTTTTAGATTGTGTATACAGAAATCATTATTTTACAAACATTTTTTGGTTTCTTAAACCGTGTTTGGAGCGCACGCAACGGAAGCCCGCAAAGATGAATATTTCCTTTTTCCTACATTTTTCATTGTTTCTTTGCTTCTAGCGGTTGCGGCGTGATATTGCTTAGCTAAGCTATACTAAAGTATTCCTCAATAAATGGTCTATCCAATACAATATTTTTTTTCATTCGAATTAATACTTCCTGAGATTAACGTGTTAAAACAAAAATTTAACAACCCTACTTTTCAGCTTCATAATAATTTTAAAGATTTTTAAATTCCAAATAAATAACGTTAACAAACACATTATTTAAATATCAATTCGCAAAAATTCCATCGCGTCAGGCTAAAGCAATAGAATTTAAAGCCTATCGTGCATAAGTCACGAGCACACTAACGTAATTTTTAAAAATCGAATGCGCCGCCATTTTGAAATATGTCTGCGGTTTATATTGCATACCCTCACGAACAGGGGTATCTATAAATAAAAGACTAATTTCCTTTAAAGTAGGTGTTGATATTGACACGGCGGAGTCGATGTTACAATTTTCCAGTAAAATTGGATTCCTCGCGGTAGGTAATAGCGTCGTATGTCGACGCTACCTACTGAAATTGGATAAGAATTTTCCAATCACCCTTGATATTTTTAAAGCTCGGAATTGGTTTGGTTTTAATGATCTCTATAACATTTAATACTTACTAGAACTTTCCTTATACATTTTACTGAGATTAAATTACATAAGGGATTTTTAAAGTATTTCTGAGCCTGTTACTTAAGTAAGAATAAAATATGTAATTCAAAAATCAATTTTCTTAATTTAATACAAACTTTAAATCTTTCCTCTATAATCATCAAGTATCTAATCTGTAGCTAACGCGAGCAGTAAACATTTAAATAAAACACTTTTAACGGTTTAAAACGTAAAGTATGTTAGTTAACTTATTTTTATTAAGTTTATAAAAAAATAAACCCTTATTTCTTTATTCTAACAAAGTAAAGGTTTTACTGTTTTGCGACTTCAATTTGGAGACATAAATATTTACCATTCAGGCATTTACCACAAACTTGTAGCCTCACTAAATCCAACAGCCAAAGATAAACCAACTATCTTTTGGTGCATTCGGCATTCAGTTTTATCTTACCCACCACACCTACGATTCGGCCTTGTTTAAATTAGCCCCATAATCAACGTGCAACCTAGACCTTGAAACTGATTGCACACACAGGAATCCCTCACTTGCTTTCAACCGAGTATAGTGGTCTGACGTTCTATTAAGTTCAGTGATTTCTTGGTAATTGCTAATCGCTTTCAAGGATGGGTATGTTAATTAGTTTAATCAGAGCAAGCGAATTTATGAAACTGTCACTTTTGTACAGTATTAAATTGATAGCCCCTTGATTAGATTTTAACTGAAAAAAAAACTTAGCTCACACATAATATAACTATTTTATCTTCTCTAATATATTAAATATTTATCGGCACAATTTTTTTTAATGATAGAGGAGGACAGATGTACAACGGGTTCACTTGATGGTAGTTGATATACCCCAGCTTATAGCATCTAAACAAGATGCGTTGTCGACCCATTTTGGATTTGGATATTCGGAAATCCACATACTGAAACCGAAACGCAATTAGGATTCACGGCTTTTTCAAATGTGAACAGTGGTTCGTGACCCGGACGGAATTTTGTATATTCCTACCAACAATTTAATATCCAGATTTTCAGACGAAGTCCAACGTGTTGCAGAAAAAATATAAATTGAAGAAAAATTTTGGACCTGGTGGAAATCGAACCCACGACCCGTTGATAGGTACTCTGCTACCATTAGACCAACAAGCTCTTCAAAATGTCATATACTTATGTACGTTATTACGATTTTGTCTAAAAAAGGCTTAAATATTATAGAGGCTTTGATTGAAAATTTTTCAATTTTAGAATTCACAGCAACTATAAGTTTGACTCTAGTCTAACGTGCAAAAAAATAACGTATAGAAAACGGAAACGTACTAATTTGGGGTCCTTTAATTAAAAGTTCGATATAGTGATATTCAAATACAGAACAACTAGAAATCCGTAGACAATCTTTTACCTTCGCAGTCGGATAAAAACAATGCAATCACTTATGCAGTTCGCACGAACTGGCGTCAATCGTTTTCACTTCAAATCAATTTTTGCGTCGCCTCAATATCGTAGCTTCCTAGCAGTGAATAAAGTGCTTTTGTAGTAGCCACAACTTGGCGCATGTGATTCAATTTTAAACTCTAAATGTACCTGCTTTTAGATATACTTTCATATGATAAATTGCAAGTTCTTGTAAAATTTTCGGCGATTAAGGAACCATTAGATCGCGTAATTTCTATAGTTCATGACATTTTTAATTAAAACTTAACAAATAACTAAACATATTTTTCATTTAACTTGTATGTAAATGTTTATAACTATAAACAAACTAAACTTTTATACATTATTCTTGTTATTTACTTATACCTACTATATGTTTATTTAACTAAAATAAAGCGAAGTATTGTTAATACATTACTTAAACTTTGGAGTATAAAAATTATTTCTTTAATTAGTTGAAATTACTGAGAAGTCACTTAATATCAAATTAATTTATCTCGATATGTTGAGAAAGTACGTGCTTGGAACACCCCAAGAAGAATTATACGGTTGGTTTTTTAGTAATAATAAGAGGAATCTTCCTCAAGAGGAAAAATCTTGCAAAATTAACTTTGTGTAACGTTACGATAACAGTATTTTAGAATGTGTTGTTTATTTCACCATCAGAAAGAGTTCTGTACGCGCGTAACCGCGTCCTAGTTGGTTCAAAACCAGCGGTCGTTGGTGGTACGCCCATTACAGAAGAATTAGCTGTGGTAAGTATTCTGTTTTTCTAGCAAGATCATATAAAAATGCTTGCTATATATTTATTTTCGAAACACTAAGCAATTAATTAACCATATAATGAAGCTAGATCATCAAAGAACGAAACAGAATAGAGCTCAAAAAGTTTTGAAGTCCAAAATCATCTTTTTATACTAAATGCATGTATTTAGTATAGAAGATATCTAAGTTATATAAAACTATGTATATAGTATATTATTAAATAGACAATAATAATTATGAGTTTTACGTGAAAATGAGCTAGCTAGTTTAAATTTTTATTGTCGGTTAAGAATTTCATTGACTTGACTTTTTTAAGGATTTAAGAATAACTGCCTTTGGAACAGCATCATGTCCACCAAGAGGCGAATGGATCCATACTCCGCTTATCATGCGCCCCGCTGAACAGCCATTAGGTAAATACTTATAGATATTTGGATATTATCAGGAAATAGAAGCGAAGTGTTATTACAGTTTTAATATTTCAAGGTTACGGTCTTTCTGCGCAACGTAACGGCACAAGGTCTCTTCTATCTGGTCTCCAAGCTCACATAATAAAGTGGTTGCTGTTTGATTCCCGCCCAGTCACTAAAGATAAGAAAACTACGGAGCCTCCAGACAGGTAAAGAATGTACCAATATTGCATATATTATAGACACACAAAACGAAAATTATATAAAATATACACGACCCCTGGTGAAAATAGTGTGCTAACATTTTATTTTTGAGCTCAAAATGTTTTACCTCACACTGGCTAAAAAACATTAGAGCATTAATTTTTAACTAACAAAATTGTTCACACCACAAAACCAGCATCAACAAACCCAAACATTTACAGTGGACAAAAAAATGGTTAAGCGTAAACCGCAGGTGGGGTATGGGTTCTGTCATTTGTTTATTTAATGATGCAAGATGTCTGACACTTGCTTTGACAATAATTTTAACCTTGCTTAGAAATATATACATATTAAAACCGGTTGACGAAAAATTGGGAAAAAAGTATATAAAATACTTTCTATATCTAAATATATTAAATTAAAATTTTGCCAAGTTATTAAATTATTTTAGAACAGCCGATGTTCTCTCGTAACCACGGAGTGCCCGAAAGATTGAAGTCATAAAAAAATAACAAGTATATATTTCGCGTTGCCAGCCGTCAAACGTTGCTCTCATTAAGAGACATTTTAATCTTATACGTTCTCCTATTATTTTTTTGCGTGTTCTCTCAAAAGGGTCCCTAAAAAGCTGCATAACTTTAGCACGTTTAGCGATGTTGTAACCAATATTTTAGCACGAGTGTCGGTCGCGATAGTCCACACTTTGACATAACAAATTACAGGCGTTCTCTTTCAAAATCACGCCTTGTACACAGGCCGTTATTTTCCAACTGGGAAAAACTTTACTGCATAGTTGCCAGCTCATAAGTAAATTACAAATATTAAAAATTGTAACACGGATGGGACTAGAAACTACTAACTCAATATTTTGTACAAATACTGTACAACTGGGAACTCTGACCTCTCCGTTTCGAATCGCGTGTGGCATCAATGATTTAATCTAAACTATATTTTTAATCTAATTCAAACTACATAGTTTTACTTTAGATTAAAAAATTTATGCCACTTTGCTAATAAGCTATCATGTGAGAAATCGTAATGATTCAAGGTAATCAGTACTGGAGCAGAATATTGAAGACAAAATCAAAAATCATTTATTTATAATATATATCGAAGACGGTCATGAATACGTACTAAATACTAAACGAGTCGGAGGAAGAAATTATAAAAGGGGTGAACTGGGTGTCTAACACGAGGACGTGTACGATGTCATGATACCCGTGTTGCAGTGCTGCCATCTGCTTAATTTACCAAATCGTTTGGATAGTTCGTGTAACACTTGAGATAATATGCGGAAACGAAAGTAACTTGTGACTTAAGAGTGGTCGATACAGTGATATTGACGTTTGACAAACTATCATTGAGAGCGGTATTGACCACTATATATTTTGAAATAACGTTAATTTTATCTTTAACAATTTGTTAAACACTTTCGCATTGAATCTCAATGCGGAAATGTTAGGTTTAAATTACATTACGCAAGAAATGCATGTAGTCATAAAGACTTGAAGAAATTTAACGGTAACGTGTGTGTTACGGTAGCTCATTTGTATAATGTTATATATAATTGAGCTAACGTGTCGCAGCCCGGAATGCTGTGTGCTTCAAGTCTCACCCGTGTCTTATTTTCAATCTAATATGATTTTAAATATATCGGGCTATCATGTGTAATAAAATGTGAAAAATATTAAAGTTTACAACACCTTTAGCTCAATCCTAGAAACACATAAAAGGCAGAAGATTATTTTTTACCGAATTGCCTATGCGTAGTGTCCCAGTATGTCATAGCGCAAATTTATGTCACAACAAAAGGCGTGTCGGTGAAATATGATCGACATTACAGAGTTGCGGTGTTCGCGAGGTGAATATTATGAGGTACCATAAATAAAGCGATAATGTAAGATTGACTATTGTGCTTTTGGTCTAATAAAAAGTTACTTTAAGACAACCATATAGCTCAGGCTAGCTTAACTGACCTATATATATTGCTTTCGAGCGTTTGGTATCTAAGGGCTCTAACCTGAAAGACAATAAACTAAATTAAACAGTTTAAATGCTAATATATTAGCAAATTTGTCTTTTACTAATTTAATTAGTTTTATACCGTTTAATGGATTTTGTTTACTATATGTTTTTATCAAACACTAACGCCTATCTAATAAGTAAATACTATTTTTATGTAACTAAAGGTATAAGTAATATTAGGCTATTTTTTTAACTAATGGAATTTCGATCGGCATCCACAGCAATCCATAAAATCGTCCGCGTTCTATAGATTCACCGTAGCTCAATTGGTTAGAGCTTGCTGCTCTTACCTCTTACCAATTAAGCTACGGTGTCCAAACCGTTTCTGGTCGAATTTGTTCAACCTATTGATATATGCACTTCTCGAGAAATGTAATTTCAACTTTAACATGTTAATGTACATAATGCCAACATGTGAAAGTAATAAAGTTTGCAAACTACGTACCTATTTTCAAGACGTTTATCAGAAGTAAAATTATCGTCTAAGTTGTAAATACCTTACTTCTCGTTCAGCGCTGCTTTTCTTTATATAACAGTTATTTACGTCCCTCCGAGGAGAGACAAGAGGAGGCCCTCTGGCGTGGGTGCAGCGAAGTTATATGGCGTTGCGCGGCAGGTTCTGGCGCGGCCGAGCCTCGGGCCGTGGTCGCCTTGCCAACAGATAACACCTATGTCCAACATAGCTCGAGTTATTATCAAGATGGAATCACTGAAAAGGTACTTAGAGAGTATAAAACTCTTGAAGACAAATGGTATTACAACCTACCCTGGTTGTAATATCTTTTCCCCCGTTTTTTTTTTAATATTACTAAGCTCAAAACCGTAAAACTTTATATATATGTGTCCTTTACTGAACAAACTATTAAAATCTTTTCCAAGATTCGAGCCACGCGTACGCAATGGTTTTGCATTGCGCATAATAAAATTGAAGATATGGCGTTTGCAACTTAGTCACAGAAATGAGTTAGAGAAATTAACTCAGTACCAAATAATTTATTTTGTTCTCTTATATTATAAAATATATTAATAATATTTATTATATAAAATTATTATCATTTGTAAGCTAGCTATCTTTGGCTTTTTGTTATAAAGTAAATAATACTAAGTGACAAAATATATATTGAGTTTAGATTCAATTAAGTAAATATAAATTAATTAAGATTTTATTTTAAGCTGCATTTCTTTGAATTGAAAAGTCTGGATGACCTCCAAATTTTTATTAAGAGGTACCTGTATTTGGTAAGTACTGAAATTCATTATTACGACTGATAATACTTTTTCTGGCAATAGAACACTAAAACCTATTGAGTAGTTAGGTCAATAACCGTTTAGGAAAATCTCCTAGACCTAATCCCACACTTACGAGTCTCTTAGTTTTTGCAGACGTCATTTGGGAATATTATCAACGAGAAAATGTTAGACAATCTCATCGTTTTGTCGAGCTAGACGTGGGCGGGAAAAACATGACGTAAAACTGAAAATACTTCCATTCTATAAAATGTAATTAAAATTGTGTTACTGTTCTCCTACGCTTCAAGTAATTTCAAATAAACTAATGGCTGGAAATATTAAAGTTATCTTAATTATTATACAAGTTAGTAATTTATTTTTGTGTACTGTACAAATATGAGTGTGTCATAAAAATGTAAACATTATCGGCTCAGTATTGTTTGTATGATACGACTTATGCATTTTTAAATATAATACTTTTAACGTGATTAAAATGTAGAGCGTAACAGATGACGCTAGACGACAAAATTTGACTGTGGCATTAAGGACCCTCCATCTTCGAGACCACTTCTGCTGTAAAGTATTCGAAACACCGTAGTTAAAAAAAGTTAACCAATATATTTCGCGTTTTAAAACGTTAAGAGTGTTTTATTTAAATGCCTCTCAAAGCCACATCAAATAATATCTGATTGGATTTATGATACAATTATTCTATAATGCTATGGAGAAATGCTAATAATCTCAATTTAATTTTAGGTGAGTGCTAAACTCACATAATAATATTTCATCGAGCCAAAACTGTCCCCTACATGTTTGTAAGAGTCTGTTCTATTTATAGGTAATCAATTATTATTATTAAATTGAAGTGTAAACCCTATAAAGAAAGTTTTTTTTACGTACATAATTTTTATATATTATAATCTGCAATATTTATTACAATTTGTATGCTCGGTCAAACATAGTCACCTCGAACATAAAAGTGAGATTTGTTTAAAAGTGAAACCCCGTTTTCCGCCATGGATTATGGGGTGAAATCATTACTGTGTCCTTTTCGCTGATCACCTTTATTTACAAGTAAGTAGTTGATCAGATTTCTGTACCCTGCCCTACCGAAACATTTTTTTGTTTCCCTTGGATTCGAACCCAGGACCTATCACGCTTAACGCAATGCTAGGAAAGACGTTTAACCATTTAACTACAGAGGCGGATATTTGTTTATTATTTAGTTATTTATAATCACAAATCCTTAAGCAATTATTTTCAAATATAATATATCAAATAACAGACTAACTAAATTACATGTAAAAATACCGAAGTAATAATTCAAAATTGTTCAGTTTCAGTCGGAGGACGGCTCAGGTGCTCTACTGTTGTTGTACGCTGTAATTCTATCACGAGGCTGTGAAAAGTAAGACATCTTGTAATTAACGATGAGAAAAAGTAACACTTGATTTATTTATGATTGTTTGAGCGATAATTCATTGAGATTTAGTAATCATTTCGGAAACATTAACACCTGCTGGTGTGGGAACTAGAGTGGCTTGGATATTTGGTATTGATATAAATATTAATATCACTGGGAAAATATAAATATTCATGTTAATGATGTAAGTTATCCATTTTGTATGTTATGTCTTAACGAGAAAACAAAATAATACTATGTTACATATCATAAGAAAAAGCTAGGACTCTGAAGCTTCTTTATCGTCTTAAGCAAACCTTTCACACGCGAAAATGCCTAATAAATTAAAACAAACTGTTTAAATTAACAATTGTCACGCAAGTCAGTGTATCAAGAATATTTTTGGTAAATTTGTTTTGAAGATAAATTATTCCTTCCAAAAAAATCTGACGATATAAACATAAAACTAAGGCAATGTAAAATTTAAGTATTGTCTATCGTGACGCGAATAAATAGCACACAAAACACCTTTAACGGTTTCAAACGTGAAATATATTAGTCAAATTTAGTCTGTTTTAACTACGGATTTTTGTCGTTTCGATTGATTTGCAAGAAGCGATATCGTTTCACGATTTGATCGATTTAGTGTTTTGATCGTCAAAATGATTGAAAATATATCTTAAAGTTTTAATTCAAACATAAAGCAACAGCAGATTATCGGGAGTAGCTCCTGTTTATCTAAATAACTCTCTGAATATCTACATCGAAACTCCTAAAGTCAAATCCTAACTCATCTCGCTAAACTTACACCACGCTACATAGTTAGGTCAAAATAGTTACACTTAGCTCTTACCAAGTTGATATTATGTTCAGTATAAGGAAGGATCTGGACGGTAAGCTGAACTACCTGGTCTCCACTCAAGTGGAGGGCTCTTTGAACGTGACGACGTTGTTGTTGACTGGACGTGCGACGCCGTATTTACATAATGGAGTGCAATATGTTGGCGACGAGGACCATTATGTGAGTGCAAAATATACGCATTTACAACATCACATTGTTAATACTGGATAGCTTTACTTGCTCTTTTTATTAGAAATTTTCTGGCTAGTTTGTCTTATGTAGGTTTGAAAAACAGTCACATTTTTACATGGCATTAAATTTGTTTTACGACGCAACGTTCCTTGCTGATCTAACCAATACGAAGGACGTGGTACCTGAATTAGTTATAGCAGTAGCACAGAACGCTATGGATGCTAATTCAAGTCCCGACCGTGTTTTTATTTTTTAAGTTTTAATAGATTTTTAATTTATTTAATTGCTGTCTGTAGTATACGCGAGTAGTACACATTTAAATTAAACACTTTAATATTCCAAAATGCGAAATAAATTAGTTAACCTGTTATTAAATCATTTCAACTACGGTCCGACGTTTCGGATGCTTTGCAGCCGTTGTCACGTGGAGACGTGGTTAAAACTAATTTCACATATATTTCGCGTTTGGAACCGTCAAAGTGTTTTATTTATTTGAGGTTACTGCTCAAGTTCTAAAGATGTATTCTTTTATATTGCTATCTGCTAGATGGTTTTTATTAAACTGCTTTTACTTTGAGTGTAGTAATTTTTACGTCAACAAAGATTTCATTAACATTAAACAATGTGGGCATTTAAATAAAGAACACCACATATTATCTAAAAAAGATACGCTTCTTAAATGCATTCTATTCTACTTTACACTAGTTTATCTTACATAGTTTCCTATTTGGTGTATTTTATTAAAACTGTACATACTTCAATTGATATAGGCTATGCCCCAATTCGGAGTGCTATCCCGAAGTCCGGTGGGTCTCCTCGTCTGGTATGGAAATGAGGAAAATGCAACTAGCCACGTATCGAAGCAGTACCCTGGTTCGAGGTTGAAGACACCAGCTCTACCAATCTGGGTAATATACATTAAATTATTATATAATGCATTGTTCGAAAACTTCCACATATTGTTCACAAACCAGTAGAGTTTACTAATAACAAAGCTGTAATATTTTTTTCACTATTTTTGTTTACATTTCAATATACCTCGAAGTATCACTACATAGTATAAAACAAAGCCGCTTTTTCTGTCCCTATGTACGCTTAAATCTTTAAAATTGCGCAACGGATATTGATGCGTTTTTTTTGATAGATAGAATTATGAAAGAGGAAGGTATAAACAAAGTTTTTCTGTAGTGTATTTAGATCAGAATTGTACACGAGCGAAGCCGAGGCGGGTCGCTAGTTAATTATATAAAAGAGTATAAACTATGTAATGTATTCAAGTAAGTCTACTTAATGACCGCCTCTGTAGCTAAATAGTTCTATGTCCTGGGTCCTGGTCCTGGGTTCAAATCCTCGGGAAACAATTATTTGTTGTTAGGGCATAGAAGTATAACATCGATAAGTGAAATGGACACTGAAATATGTTCGCCCTATGCCCTTTAGTGGGAAACGGGATTCGCAAGTCTACTTAATAATGATTGATCATATATATTTACAGGTGACAAGTTGCTCAGGTCATTTTGGGGTACTCTTCAACACAAATCGAGAATTACTCAGAAACTATCACGCTGAAAGAAGGTAAATTTGTAACAGATAGACATTTTATTAGTAGCCATTATTATATTATGTCTGGTATATATTAGTTAAAAATCTATTTAAATTGAAAATAAAAACACAAGCGGGACTTTAATGGATTGAGCTACCGTGTCCTACAGGCCATCGTCGAATTTTTTTAACCTAAGATGTCTTAAATCGTAATTGTTATGGTTTAAATTACATTGCACAAGACGTGTGTGTATCAATGGATTTATAATTTACGACGATGACATGTGGGACACGTTAGCTCAATTGATTATAGCACCATGGAACGCTGTGAATGATGATTCAAGTCTTGGTAGTTTCGTAATATTTTTATTTAATGTAAATAGAGATATTTTATATGTGCAGAATATTAAGTTTCCAAATAATCAATATTCATTATCCTTAGTGACTGTTTGATGGTAATGTATTAGAAGTATTGATTTCTCACTAGAATAAGGTTTTGTTACTTAATGGCTTTGTAAGTTTGCAAGTTGCTAATGTAAATTATTAAGAGATTTTAAATAAATCACTATATCACGTTAAAATGTTGTATTTAAATGTGTTCTACTCGCGTAAACTACAGACAGTATTTTATATTAACAGATTCGATATCCACTACTATACGTGTGGAGGCTGTCATGTGCTTCTAAACGTAGACACCAGGGCTCATGAGGATGCTGGGACGTTGCGAAATGACGACATCAGCGCCACTCCACTTGAAAAACTCATTCATACAAAGTAAATATTATACTTTCATGCAGTAGTATTTTTTGTACCTAGTTATCTTCCTATGAGAGTCTCTTATATTATGTTAAACCTTTAAAATAATGTAAAAAATATGGTTCTTTTTTTTGATATCTAAATGATATTAACATTGATATGATATTGAAGGAGGCCCATGTCTCCGTTTGGGTTCTTTTTGTTTAGAGTAATTTAACTTACTTATTTTTTCAATTGAAAATTTAATCCAAGCTTTTAAATAAAACACTTTAACGGTTTTAAACGCGATATATTAGTTAAACTTCTTTGAAAATGATTTTAACTGCGGCCCGACGTTTCGGATGCTTTGCAGCAGCCGTGGTCACGGGGAGACGGCCCCAAGCTTACTAATCAGATTTACGTTTACTGTATTATAACCACCAATTATTGTAAAACAAGAATTAAAAAGGCCTGTTATTACAAACAGAACAAACAAGACGCCATTTATTCTCGCCATTCGCCAGTTAGTCATAATGTGTCTATTAGTTAGAGATCACGCTCTTTTATTCTCTTATATAAAGTAAGTATCCTCTTCAGTCTTAAATTTAAGATATTATGTGCACATGAATAAGCTTGCTTATAAACCAGTGGCCTTTCTGAAACGCGCATACTATGTATCTACAATTCTGCTATAATTGGAAGATGCAAACATTTGGCAACAGCGTTGCACCAAATCCCCCGACGAAATGCTACATTAGGGTGTCTACAGCCTGTCGTCGGCAAAGCAGAGCTAGAAATACGAATATGGATAAATAAACTGATTTTCAAATATTTCTTCGGATTCCGAGCAACGCGATTTTACTTCTAAATTGAGTATTTTTCGTGCTTACATAGAAATATAGACAATGATGTACATATTATCGTGTCATCTGTATAATCTGCTTAGCGATAAGTTCGCCTTTTATTCATATTAGTATGTATGATTTTTGTTTTATGGTATGCATGAATATGAATAATAAAGGTGTAACAAATAAAATAAGATATTTGTTATTTTTTTTTCTATCTTATATCGGGGTGGTGGTGGGTCACGGTTTTAAATTAAGTATGATTTTGCATTTTAACCCTTACTTTTTTTGTTTTTGGTATAATCACAATATCAATTAAATATTACAATTTAGGTATCATCAAAGGAAATTAAGAAATCGACGCTGCAAGAACAAGATATTTATTTATGTTTATTTATTTATTTATTTATAAAGGCTCACCAACTACATACATAATTAAACTTACAAAATCTATTTCTAAGAATAGTTAATACTACTTATGTATCTAACTTAAAGGTGTGCACAACTTTAACTAAATATATTAAACAAAGATTAAAAGAACAGAGATATTAAATAAAGAATAACAAATAAAACCACCCATTTCTTAGTTAGATTGTTTGTTGACGAGATGTTTGTATGTGTTTCAAATTGTTTGGATTCAAATGAGAATAATCAATTATGCCAAAAAAATTAAATACAAATAAGTATGCAACATATCACATAATATATAAAATTAGGTAATAAATATATTTATAAGTTGTTTACTTTTTCAGATGGCAAGATGCGAAAATCACCTGGACTGGGGCTGTACCTTACACAACTGATTCACCAATGTAAAGTGACAACCAATTTATTATACTGCTATGCTGTACTTAAATGTTGAAGAACCCTTTGGAATAAGAAAAATGCGTCGCAAAAGTTTTACAATTCTGGTATATTTGAATTATTTTAAGTCCGCGCTTATTAAATTAAATACTTGTAACGTATGTCGGAACTTTTTTATTATTATCTGTAGTTTACACGAAGTGCACACTTAAAACAATTTTAACGGTCTAAAATGCAAAATATATTTATCACTTATTTAACACCAATCGCCAACGGTTGTCTTTCTAATGTGAAGCTTAAGTTAATAACTGTTTCGCGTTTTAAATCGTTAAAATATGTTTTTTTTAACATTAAACAGCAAAGGTAATTCGTGTTTTGCCCTGAAAATTCATCGTAATAAGAACTTTCCTTTTTTAATTAATATATTACATACAACATATCATTGCCTTTCGGGCTGTTCGGCCGACGTGAGCGAAAAGAGGTTGTCGATGTTTCGCCATTCACGAGCGGACGGCATCATCGGGAGATGTTTACTCCTTGATTCAAGGAGATAACCTCCCCTGATGATACCGTCCGCACATGAATGGCGAAACATCGAGAACGTCTTCTCGCTCACGTCGGCCGAAAGACAATGATATGCTGAACGATGGCCGTGAAAGCCTTATACAATTTACTCTTATAATATCTTAAAGAAAGTATATTTAAATCTAAAGTAATTTAAGTAAATTGAAAGATTAGTAAATAAAAAACAGAAGGCAATTGTATACGCATAAAAACTTAGTACTAGACAATCTTATATAGACTACTTATATAGACTAGAGTATGGACTTCAAATGATTTCAATAAAATTAGCAATATAAGAGACGCGTAAGCCTAACGTCATTCTAATAATGACGAATGGTCCGCATATTATTAGAGGTAATTTATCATGCTCGTGTCAAATCCTTACATTTCCTTGCTTTAACGCAGTTGTGTTTGATGTATTGCAGTACTTATAGACGTTTTTATTGAATCGACATGCGAATATATAAAAACATCTTTTTAACGGTTTTAAACGCTTCTATATTACAAATAAACGAGTTAGCGTATTTAATTCTCTACAGGTTGGTATACTCGATGACAGGTTACGACATCCGAATTCGAATCCTGGTTTGGGCAAAAAAACAATTCCTAAATGATTTAAGATATGAAAGAAAATTTTCGCCTGTATTTTGAATCTTAGTTACCACTACTTATACAGTAGTTTTTAGAACCCACCAACCCGCACTGGGGCAGTGTGGTAAGATCATAGTAGAATAGATTGAAACTTAATTTATTTTTAACTACAACCTAACACGACAAGTTCAAAGTCCTATACACGGTTAGTACAAACGACGAGTGACAAATAAAAAGAAATCAAACATTTTGCGTTTTAAACCGTTAAATGACCTATAAAAATTCATAATTATATAACTTCTTGAATACATTTAGAGATACGATAATAGAATTTAATTTTATTTGAAACTCAATATTATTAAATACAAACAAATTTAAAATGATAAGCGGTTGAACATCTTTAATAGTGTCTATAGTTTAGGCGAGAAGTACACATTTAAATAAAACAATAACGGTTTAAAACGCGACATATATTTTTTTTAAGCTTATTTGAAAATTATTTTAACTACTGCGCCCAACTTTCGGATGCTTTGCAGCATCCGTAGTCACGGGGTGAGTGACACACGGCCACTATTGAAAAGCATCTCAATAGTTTAATTACTATATATTGCGTTTCAAACCGTTAAAGGCATTTAAATAGATTGACAATCTTCATTAATATCAGAATGAAACCCAATATTGTCCAAAGCTTGTGGCAATAAAGTAAAAACTATGTTCGCCCGAAGCTAAATACACACAAGGGATGATAAAAAATATGATGCTACAAAACCCGGGGGCTTCGGGAATTCAATCGGCACATACCTGTGTTTTTTCGAGAGTCGAGCCGCGTGGCAATTTGTAAAAAGCGGCTCTTCGAATCGTACACAGGACTGAATCTATCTATAAAGCTGAAGAGTTTGATTATTTGTTTGTATGTTTGAACGCGCTAATCTCAGGAACTACGATTTCGAATTGAAAAATTATTTTTGTGTTGGTTAGAGCATTTATATAAGACATCACCCTGTGACTAGTACAAGTAAAGATACAGCGGGCAATGTGGAAGAAACACGGAATATTTTTCATCCTTGTGGATTTCCGTTGCGTACGCTGCGAAAGCGGTTCAAGATACCCAAAAAATATCTAAAAAGAATGATTTCTCTTTAAATGTTTGAAAACTTTATTATTTTTACATGTTATTGCACATGAAGGCACTATATAATTTAAACATTGAAAATAAATTGAAAAGCAAGAGCACGGAACGCTGACGATGCCGGTTCAAGTCCTGCCCGAGTCGAATTTTTTTTCAATTTATTTTCGATGTTTAAATTCTCTTTCAATGATCTAAAAAAATGTCCGCGATACTTTATAGCTATTATCGTTTCTACTAGCCACAGCGCAATGTTTTATAGCCTTTCTCAATAAATGCTGTAATCAAGACAAAAATGTTTTTTCAATTAGAACCAGTAGTTCTTGAGATTAGTGCTTTGAAACAAACTCAGCTTTATAGACATATATAGATAAATTATAAAATATTTTTTTATAGTAAGTTTGGCATTTACTAAGAAACAAATAACAAACTCTGGCGCTTCAAGCGACTAATAAAATTGTAATAATTAAGATGGTGATGACTGGCGATGCGGATGGCGAGCAAAAGCAAGCATAAATCAGTACGGAGCGTGTCCAAGAAGTCGCGCGAAAGTTCGCTTACCTTTTCGTATCGCTGTACGCACATCTTTGGTGGTCAAATGTTTACAATAATATATACTATAATAAATTCGTGAGTGTATAAAATACATGTTAGAGTATGTACTATGTCTTTTATTAAGTTTAACTTCTCTAAGTATGTAAAATTTGATTTTCCGACATTACATTTCTTGTAAAAGTGCGACAAAATTGATTAATAGAAAAATGCACTATCTATTTCAGGATAAAACCGGGCAAATTTTTAAATAACAATATCTTATAAAAGGCAGACAGTTTTTAAATTTTGGCTAACATAATATCAGTACATACATCAGAAACTAAATAAAGGCATTTTGAATATGTTAAAGTATATATATTTTTTAACAATTTTAAAAAGAATGAATTTCCTGTTTGTAGTTTACTTGAGTGGTATAAATTTAAATAAAAACTTTTAACGGTTTAAAACGCGATATATATTAGTTAAACTTATTTGACTTAATTTTTAACTTAGGCCCGACGTTTCGGATGCTTTGCAGCAACCGGGGTCACGTGGAGGCGGTGGGCGGACCGAAGTTAAAAATAACTTTCAAATAAGTTTAATCAATATGTATCGCGTTTTAAAATGTTAAAGTGTTTTATTTAAAAGAATGCTTTTTTTAAAACCGACTTCATAACATTAATTAATTTATTGATAAATTAATAAGCCCAATATTCTAAAGACTTTTGGTTGGCTTACGTAACTCATAGATATTTTTTATTTCATAGGTTCTACATTTATTTTTTCTATAAAAGTCATTAAAACATAATTATATTATTTAAATCTGTCACAATAGTAAACATGTTAAGTGTAAAACATAATCTTTAAAAAGTTATCCCCAATGACACTAAAGGACGGTTTTGTATAGTCTGCACGTAGCTTAAACAATCCAAAGCAAGACTAGCCCTAATATTTTCACCTAAGTAAACGGACCGTTAAGTTAAAGAGTGTTACAATACAATCTTGTTTAAATCGCTCGTACATCAATTACAATTGGACAACCCCGTGAATACTGTTCCAACTTCAGTAATTACTGTAGTCGAGTTAAAGTTCACTTCGAACTGAATGGATGGCTTACAACTTGCAGCTTTGTTTTGTTCAGGTTAGCCCCGGTAAGTTGGAATTATTATTACTCATGGCACAATCGATTGAAACGGTTATTGTATTGTGCTAGAAAAATAGAGGTCACGTGATTTTTTTATGATAAAAAAACATACAAGCTAGTTAATCCCAGAACTTGATAAAAAGGTGTGCCTATTTTATCTTTGGATAGTCTGAAATCCACAGGCTGAAATAGAAACGCGATTAAGCTTCAGGCTTAAGCCTTTTTTCATCTGGATCTGGTGGTCCGTGATCTGGACGGAATATATTTAATATCCAGGCTTCCAGGTGAAGTACAACATGGTTTAGAAAAATATAAATTCATGAGAAACATGTTGTACCTGATGGAGATCGAACCGTAGGTACATTAGGCGTACCAAGATATTAGGCCAACGAGCCTACTGAGACTAGATTAGATAGACTGCATAAAATAGGCCACAAATCATTTAGTATTTACGAAAATAAACATTTTCAATGAGTACCAGTATTGAACAAACATATAAACAAAATTAATATTGTCGGGTTTAATTGAGATCATAATTCTCAATTTATGCAAAAAATGTTTTCTGAAAAAATTGCATAAACAATTAAATATCAACTTAAAAAACTTTTTTGTTAAACAGTTTTATTTTTTGTGACAAAATTTTGTCATCTAAATTAAATGTGTGTACCAAATTTCAGATCAATCTGACAACGGGAAGTTGCTTAAATTTCAATTTCTAATTTTGACCCAAATAAATAAACTCCGTACGGGTTGAGCTCAATAAAATTGTTTAAAAATAGAATGCACGTATTTCATATTCTGTCACATACGTCGCAATATACAAAATAGAAAATTTTGTTCCTTTTTATGGTGAAATGACATAATAAAAGTTGGTTGATAAAAAGCTCGAACAACTATGAATACTGCTAACGCTTTCTTCATTCCAATAGACGCACACAATTAAGAAGTGGCCATATAAATTTATTAAGTAAATAATTAAATTAATTAAATCGCTAACTGTTCTTTTACTGCTCCTGATCATTTAATACAAATACGCGGTGTTTATAAAATTTTAATTAATTGTCCACGCCAAAGTGTTGATCTTACATTGTAAATATTGTAATTTCCGTTTTACATGTACTGCACTTTCGAATTCATGTCACTGGAATGTAGAAATTTAAAGCACTGCAGTGTCCAATTTCTTAATTAATTAAAATTCTCTTTGCTTTCCTTGTATTGTTAAATCTGTTTCAAGAAGTACGCTTTTTACTTCAGCGTTTCTTTTAATAAACTTAGGTAACTGGCTTTTCAGGACATCTGATTTTTTTAATGAAACAACAAGAAGTCTGCTTTTATCTTGGAATGAAAAGAATTGCTACTTTGTAAATTTAAATGTACATTTGTGATACAATTACTTATATATTAAAAGCTAGAACTACAGAATAGACTTATCTTGACACTTCATATTGTATAGCCTTCTATATCCTTTTGTGACGGCTGAGGGACGTTCTTAAGGAACAACACAAAATAGTAAGTTTAAAATTCGTTTTATTAATTGATAATAACACCTATAAATTATATTTGTCATCATAGGATTGTATTATTTTTATTTGTCATAGGAAATACCATATATAAAATAAATTGTCTTCAACTTTAAAAGAGAAATACTACTTATTTATTAATTATGTATTTGTAATGTATATGTTTGTAAAAGAATTTAGTAAGAATAATTAAAATTTTTATAACAACGCCATCTATCGATGTTTTTACGAATCTTTTGAGAATATTTTAAAAGCTTTTTTAGTTCATGGCAGATGACTCTTTTAAAAACGAATAAATAAGGTTGAATTTCTTGTAATTATTTATGAAAACATAGTTATTTTGTTACAATCGTTGCACAAATTAGGACGAGGAGAATAATTATAAGCACGAAAACATAATTTGAGGCATTTGGAATAGCGCCCTCTATTAGATCAATACACAACCCTGACAAAAAATGTTTTGCAGGTGAAATGTACCAAGGTACCAATATGAAATTCTGAAATATTTAGTTCAAAACAAATGAAGATGAGACCTTACTAACACAAATAAAAATAACCCCCAAATTTTTCCTTTTTTTCCCCCCTGGTTTTTTTTTTTTTTTTTTTTTTTTTTTTTTTTTCCCCTTTTTTTTTTTTTCCCCCCTGGGTTTTTTTTTTTTTTTTTCCTTTTTTTTTTTTTTAACCCCCCTGTAGCTAAATGCTTAAATGTGTTGCCTAGCATTGCGTTAAGCGCGAGAGGTCCTGGCTTAGAATCCCGTGGAAACAGTAAATCGTTTCAGTCGGGCAAGGCACTGTCTGTCACTGTCAGGTCTGATCAACTACTTGCCCCTAAATAAAAAACCGACCAGTGAAACGGACACAGAAATGTGTTCGCCCCATGCCCCACGAGGGAGAAACGGGATTTCACCATACAAGTAATAATGTGTGTTACTATAAGAATATTTAGTTCGTTAAAATGTATTAAAAATCGATTATAGATCGAATACGACAGGGTTAGGACATGAAATGGTATCCACAGCGTTCCGTGCTGTTGCTCTAAATAATCGTGCTACGTATTCCTACACGTCATCGTCGAATTTCTACCTATTGATTATTTCAACTTGCATATTATCAATATTTACGCTTTATAGCTTAAGAAAATCATTGAAGGTGAAATCAATCATCGTGTCATATTTTTTTTTCAATCTGTAATTGATTTTTAATGTCTATAGTGCCATGTGAAAAATATTTTAAAATATAACGGTTTAAAACGCGATGTTTTTTAGTTGAAAACAAGTTTAATTAAAATATATCGTGTTTGAAACCGTTAACGTGTTTTATTTTAAATGTGTACTACTCGTGTAAACTATAGACAGTATATGAAAAATATTGAAGTTTTCAATTGCTAATATGTTCCAGCGATTGGTTATTTCTGCGGTAGTCCGTAAAAGCGGTTTGAAAAGAAATAAACGCCGAACGAATAAAACGCAAATGAAACAAACCCGACGGATAACAGAACAGGCGTCGAACGGTATCTAAATGAATTGAAAAGTTTGAATTGATTGGATCGTCTATAGTACAAATCATTATGGTCTTATTTATAGAAAAATATGTGTAAATAGTTATATTGTGATAAACAAAAACGTGAATACCAAATCTCTTATTCATTCGTACGTTGGTAAGAGGGGCATGTATTAATGAGTTGAAAAAAATCGATAATGTCGTGTAGGACACAGTAGCTCAATCGCTTAGAGCAACAGCACGTAACGCTGTAGATACCGGTTCAAGTTATAATATTCCTTCATCAGTCCCGGGGCGCGACATTTTAGTTCGTTACTTAATTAGTTAATTTAGAGTATAGTTGTATAGTAGGGTAAGATAGTTAGGTAAGGTATAGGGTAAAGTTATATGTTGTAACGAGTGATGTATATGTCGTGGACAACGATATCGCTAAATATTAAGTTGCTGATTTGACTATTGTAGTACTGAGGGAGGGGTAAACACCGTGACATCAGTTGTTATTGGCGGCACGTGGACAGAGTCGTATTAGAGAGTTGGTTTTGCGACGAAGGCATTCTTATTCGAGACGCGGCACAGTTCACACCTCTAAAACGAAACTGTCGGTTTACCACTGTTTGGATTCCATTTAATTGGAGTTGTAATCATTGCTAATAATGTGAGGTTATATAATCCACGCGTACATTATTATTATTCTACGCCTGCGGAATGAACCTTGTACCACCAAATCAAGATGGTGACGGTGCTACCGCTCAGACATCGCTTTTTCCGACATATATAATTTAGTCATCTAAAAATTCGTCACGCGGTGCTCGTACTGTGCGGACGTGTGTTTTGCTGTTTGCGTCCATTGTGGTAGTTAAGCTCTCTTCACCCCGCGAGGAAAGAAGACGTCCTCTTTATTTTTGTTGTCTCGCTTAGCGGTGAATAGAACAGTGTAGTCATCGGTCTACGTGTGTGCGTGTTGAGTGTGTGGTCCAAGTTATGAGTGTCAGACGCTCTCCACCCGCTACGTTTGGCTCAATGCCAGACTTGCCGAATGCTGGGAGTGGAAAAACTGAACAACAGATAACACTACGCAAACGAAAACAGCCCGATAGAAGCTGCTGCTGTAATCAAGAATTACAAGACTTTCGACGGGACATCACAACCTTACTTGACAACTTTAATAGTGCTCAAGAAACCACTTTAAAGTTTATGCGCGATAATCTAATGGAAATAAAGACCCAGTTGAATGACATTAAAGGCTCCGTAAGTACGTTAACAGAGGAGCAGAATTGTATAAAGACTCAAATATGCAATCTCGCAGTTAAAAGCGATCATACTGAAAAACAGATGCAAGCACTCGAGTTAGATGTCAACAATATTAAACGAACCTTAAATAATAACAAATCTTGTTCAATAGACTCTTCGGAAGTAATATTGCGTGAATTACATGATCGTACAACAAGGTTGAAGAACTTAATCATAGTAGGTATACCGGAGAAAAAAGACATGGCTCTAGATGAAGTTCTAGCGTCTGATATGAAAGAAGTGCAGCACACTTTACATAAGATAAGTACTGCCTGTCCGAAGCCTATCAAAATATTTAGAATAGGAAAGTATACATCGCATCGGGACCGCAATTTAAAGGTATGCTTTGAATCGCCAGAGTCGGTCAAGCTTATTTTACGGAATACGGATAAGTTACCACCAGGCATCAGAATCTACTCAGATAAAACTCCAGGACAGCAACAACACTTAAAAAATCTAAAAGAGGAGCTATCAAAAAGAATAAGGAATGGTGAAAGTGATATAACTATAAAATATATTAAAGGAGTACCACAGATAACTCGTAAACAACTAGATGTGCCAAAAAACTAAATAATAATTCACTTGAACGTAATGAGGAATCCGAAGACATAACTTATCAAATTCTTAACGAGTATCAATATTTACATACAACTAAATCTAGCCTTAATTTTTTCTACACTAACATAAGAAGCATTTGTAAATCTGGGAAATTTGATGAGCTGAAGTGTGTCTTGCACTCCTTTGCCAAATGTATTCATATAATATTAATAACTGAAACCTGGATAAAATCTGAAGACCAAGCTAAAGAATTCAACCTACCTAATTACTCACATTATTATAACTTAAGGCCCCAAACTATCGGTGGAGGCGTTTCAATATTTGTCCATAATAACTTAAAGCATTCAATTTCAACAACAATATTTAAAAACGACAATAACTATTTATGGATACGACTTTTTAAGCAAGCTCTAGATATAGGAGTAATATACAAACCTGGCTATTCAAACTTTATAGACTTTTTGGAAACTTTTGAGAAACAACTCATTGATAGGAGGCGGGCGATAGTTTTCGGTGATATGAATATTGACCTTCTTGATACCGATAAAAAAACGCAACAGTATGATGCACTAATAAATGAGACAGGATATATGTTTTTGAATAAACGGGATGCTGATTACTGTACTAGAGAAACCTCATCAACAAAGACTATTATAGATCATGTAGCAACAAACTTAAAGAATAATAAATTTCACTTTACTATTATAAATTCCTGCTTGTCTGATCATAAGAATATTTATGTTGAGTTGAAGAGAACCAAACCTCCAAAAAAACAGAAAATGAAGTATGAAGCAATAAACTATAATGTTTTAAAGAAAACCATAAAAGAGCATAAACTTATTAACTATAGCAACGATTTTACTTACCTAGAGAATTACATAAAACATACAATAAATAAAAACAAAATAATAAAAACGAAAATACTTAATCAGCCACAGAAGGATTGGATAAACCGTGAGATTATTAATTATATAGACGACAGAAACCTAACATGGCAAAAATTACTTAACGACCCGGATAATAATACACTAAAAGAACTGCTGAAAGAGAAAAGCGAAAATGTGAAGAAAATCATTAAAAACACAAGAGACAATTACTTTTCTAATGAATTTGTTAAATGTGATACTAAACCAAAAAAAATGTGGCAGCTTATAAATAATTTATCAAAGAACAAAACTATGAATAATTGTGCTCAGCCTCCACTATTAATTTTTAATAACTTGCAAATCTCAGAATCTAGTCAAATATGTGAAACTTTTAATACTTTTTTTTCTTCAATCGGGACCAAACTGGCTAGTGAAATTCCTAAATACGGCAATATGAACACTGACGTTTATACAATACCACTTTTAGATTCAGATTTTACTACTACAACATTTGATAAATTTTCTCCGTGTACAGTAGAAGAAGTATCTAAAATTATAAACAACCTAAGTGATAATACTAGTTCAGGCATTGATGGGATTAGTGTAAAGGCTTTGAAATGTATTAAAGATGGCATAATAGATAATTTGACTAATTGTTTAAATGAATTGCTAAACATTGGACATTTTCCAAAATCTCTAAAATTAGCTAAAGTGACACCAGTTTATAAATCCGGAATAAAGTCTGACCCCGGTAATTATCGACCAGTATCTGTGCTACCCACACTTTCAAAGATATTGGAAAAACTAATCCATAGCAGATTAAACAGCTACTTACAAACAATTAATTTTATATACCAGCATCAATATGGGTTTCGTGCAAAATCGGGCACGTTAAATGCTGCCATGAACTTAATTACTAAGATTAGGAATAATATTGATCAAAAGAATATAGTACTTGGTGTTTATATCGATTTAAAAAAAGCTTTTGACACAATAAGTCACAACATACTTTTGGAAAAGCTAATGAAAATAGGCATAAAGCATACAGCTCTTAAAATGTTAAAATCTTACTTGAGCGATAGATATCAAGTGGTTAAGATTGGTGATACCCAAAGTTCATCAAAACAACTAGTTTGCGGCGTGCCACAAGGCTCAATTTTGGGGCCATTGTTGTTCCTAATCTACATAAATAATATACATCAAGTTGGATTAAAAGGACAACTAACATTGTACGCTGATGACACTTGTTTGTTTTATTTTGGTCATGACCTCAGCGACATTATTAATAGAGCACAGATTGATCTTAATAAACTTAATCTCTGGTTTCAGCATAACCTATTAACCATAAATACGTCTAAAACTTCTTATGTGATATTTAGTTCAAAAAATAAAAACTTACCCAATTATAAAAACTTAAGTATAGATGGAGAACTTATAAGACAAACTAACACTGAAAGATATCTTGGCCTTATAATTGATAAGAAATTAAACTGGAATGAGCATATAAGCTACATCAAAAACAAACTCTCATCTTTAGTCGGAAGGCTTTATACAATTGCAAATTGTATCCCACATAAAGTGAGAAAACTAATTTACAATAGCTTAGTCAAACCCCACTTACTTTACCTCATTGAAGTATGGGGCAGCGCTTCTAAGACAAATATAAAACCGCTACAAATATTACAAAATAAAATTATAAAAATATTATATAAATATGACTTCCGAACATCGACAAAAAGAATTTTTTCTGAAACTAAACTATTTACTATTCAGCAGCTTTATAAATATAGTACTTGCGTACTCATATATAAAATAATCAACAATTTAACTCATTCTAATATAAATTTTGAAAAAAACTTATCAACTAAATTTTATAAGACCAGACGTGCTAGCTTATTATCTCTTCACAACATACGCACGAATTATGGCAAGAGCTCGATAACATTCTCTGGGGCACAATTATTTAATAGTTTGCCAAAAATTGTAAGAGATTCAACTTCACTTAGTATTTTCAAAAGTAGGCTTAAATCTTTCTTAACTCTTAACAACACAATAATCAAATAACAAGTAGTAGCTTTTCAGTAAAATACTAATTTTAAAATATCATTTTTACTTAAACTTATGATTTTTAAATTTCAGATATTATTTTTAAAATTTTAATCGCGTTTGTCACTTGGACCACCGGCTAAGTGAGGTTGAAACTCGTTTCTTATCGGCACGATGTTATTGCTTCGGCTATTTATAGTTTGGTTAAGATTTTATTATAAACTACCCGCGTGATGAATAGTAAAAATGTATATATTGTATTAATGTTTCTCATATAAGTGATTGTTATAATCTTAGTGGGAAATAAATGTCTTTAAACCGAAATAGTTTCGAGTGGTGGTAAGTATTATTAAACTAGCGTACATCAGTGTTACGGACACATAAAAATGTCAGCCTGCAGACCCACTAAGAAAAGATTTTTTATGTGCCATTGCAAACAAAATTCAAATTTCTTTCAGACAGAGATACCGTTTGTTGTTCTAACATAAAAAGTCTATGCGTGGATCGTATTGAGGATTGTTTGTGGTTCGTATTTTTATATGAAATGGGTAGAATTTAGGTTCCTACTGTTTTATAAATCGGTATGTTCTGTTATTTAATTAAAACTCTGTTTAAATAAATAAAGGTCGGATTCTACTACGAGTATTAGCATAGGCACGGTTTAAAACAATCTCCCTCGACTAAGAGAATGTTCCAGAGTTTGTAACGATATTTTTCTAAAAAGAAAAGGTTGCTATTTTAATAGCATATTATTGAAAAATATTTATTTTGTATATATATTCGTGGAGCTAGTGCCAAAACTTCACTCTTGCTTTGCCTCGTACCCCACGAGACCCATTTACGTCACTTGTTAATTTCGGCATGTGCGCGCTAGTTGGGTTTCCTCAGATGAGTAAAGAATGATGATCCGGGCCGTGAAACCCACCCACAGCACGTGCAAAAGCGGAGAAGAGGATACCGATATGGAAGACCAGAAGATAAGTAAAATTCACATTACTATTAACCATAAAATGTTTTATTTAACTGCTAGCAGTTATATCAAGGAAAACATATAACTATGAATACATATTTCGAGATTTAAAAAAATTTTAAATAAATAAAACACTTTAACGGCTAAAAACGCGATAAATTAGTTAAATTTTATTTGAAAAATGATTTTTAACTTCGGCCCGACGTTTTGGATGCTTTGCAGCCATGGTCACGGGGAGACTCAAAAGTCTAAATGTGTACTACTCGCGTAAACTATAGACAGCATTTAAATAAAACACTTTTAACGGTTCAAAACGTGAAATATTAAACAAGTTTTTATTATTATTTATAGACCGCCCGACCTTCGGATGCTTCACATCCGTGGAGACGTCGGGCCTTAGTTAAAATATATTGAACAGTATTTTTCTTGTATCAAACCGTTTTTTACTTAATTGAATACTGCCAGAGTAAATTACAATCAACGCTAAATAATTTAGTTTTTTATATCCTACAACAGTAAATATATCGTTTTTATTATCTTTATTTCAGTCCCAACATAAATTTAAAATTGTAGACTACTTTAAAAATACAAAGTTATCTCAGACACGAAAAGATAAATTAGATGCAATTTTGAGTAAGCGAGTTGTAATTTGGTCTAACTTCTAGTCGGTCTCAGTACAGTCTGAGTGATCTGTAGTTACTGACTTGTCCAATTTATAAGTTTGTCCTTTGAATTACAAGTTTCTTGATGAGAATGAAATTGTTGGCTCCTTGTGTGTGGGTGTGGAAATAATACATTTGTTTGAAAGAGGAAACAATTATATATTTACTCACTAAATATTATATGTACTCAAAATTGAGACACAAATGAGACACATTTATAGTATACTGCAACATAGATAATATTCAATAAATATTAATTGAAAAAATTATATGTTGTTACTTATCTTCCTGAAAGTTTAAAGTTGACACAGCAACAATAAAAAGGCTAGCAGCTAGTGTAGACCGATCACTCGACCACCAAATCTAATTTTATAAAGCTAACGAGTTCGTTTGTTTATTTAAATATGCTTAACTCAAAAATCATTTAAGATTAACTTGGAAAATCAACGTGACGTGGACGACACGTTG